AGATCCAGTCAAGTTGACAACCAAGACATCACAGATAGCAATGGTCATCCACTAAAATCTTCAAAATATAAAATCATTACAATTTCAACATATTTTAGAATATACAAAGTAATTGGTTTATTGTGACTTTTCATACCTATATATTATTATAATTGGTTCTTCCTTGCGCCATCCCATGACAATAGTTATAATTTTATTGATCACAGGTGGACCCAGTGGCAAAATACCCATAATCTCAGCAATTTAAGAGGTTGACTGGGGGAAGGTATATTCAAAACCTTCCTAGGCAACAGTAAATGCTGTGCCCATTTGGAAATCTCATGAAATCCTATATCAAAAGAAAAATGATAAAGATTGCTGGACAAATAATTTAGTGGTAAAGCCTATACTTAACATATGGTGTGATCTTATAGATAAGCATACATATTAATACATACTACCCATCTATTCAAAACTTGAGAAATATAGGCATGTTTGTAAACTTTATTTCATGTACAAGCATGTAATAAGGTACCAAGTCAGTTTCATCAACTGTTACCTTCCAAACAAATTCAGCATCAAGGTTCTATGCCTATGATTCCAGTTATGCAATTTTCCCTTATATCACTAAGAATGCATTGGCAAATGCAACAAAACCATAATTTTTCTTCTTCCTGGTCCCTCTATACACACACCCTAAACAACTGCAGAAACAACATAATTTCACATCACAAAATTCTCATTCCTGTTTGCTTATAATATCTCAAAGTATTTACTAGATTTCTTCAAATCAGAGCCACCTTCTGATCTTCCTGTTCAGTGCACCCCTCACGTCCTTGTTCCTCAGGGTGTAGATGAGAGGGTTGAGAGCAGGAGTGACCACTGTGTACATGATGGCGATGATCCGGTCCTGGTCCAGGGAGCTCCCCGAGGTAGGACGGATGTAGATGAAGAGAACAGGAGCATAGAAAATAGTGACGACCATGAAGTGGGAGGCACAGGTGGACAGTGCTTTGTGGAGCATGCTGCAAGAACGGGTCTTGAGGAACAGGTAGGTGATGATGTAGAAATAGGACAGAAATGTCAGAAAGAAGAGGCCAATGGCAGTATTCCCTGTGACATTACTGAGCAACCATAAATTGAGCTCAGTGTTCCCACAGGCCAGCTCTAGCAATGGCTTCACATCACAGAAAAAGTGATGGATCTGATTGGAGCCACAGAAGTTCAAACGCGACGTCATTACAGAGTGAAGGAAGGTATGGAAGAAGCCAATGGTCCAGATGGTGATGGCCATCAGGATACAGACCTGACGATTCATGATGACAGGGTAGTGGAGTGGTTTGCAGATAGCCACAAAGCGGTCAAACGCCATCACCGCCAGCAGCAGGGCCTCTGTGCTACCCAGGAAGTGGAAGAAATGAAGCTGAGTTATGCATCCCAAGAAGGAAATTTTGTTGTTTGTGGAGAGCAAGTTCTCCAGCATCTTTGGCACAGTCACAGTGGAGAAGCAGATATCTAGACACGCCAGGTTTCCCAGGAAGAAGTACATAGGTGAGTGGAGTCTCGGATCTGAGATGACGACCATCAGGATGGCTCCATTCCCGGCCACATTGACAAGGTAGATGGTGAGGAACACGGCAAAGAGAAGAGGGTTCAATTCCCATGTGTCTGTCACTCCCAGGAGGAGAAAGTCAGTGACTGAGGTTTGATTCAATAACACTTAAAAGAAAAGACAATAATTTTGGAACATCCATCTTCATGTTCATCGGTCTTTCTAGGCCTGAATTTTCTTGCCAACAGAAACATATTTTCTGAGATAGTATTTTTTTTTTGTATAAATCCATCTCAGTCTTTTTTGGTATTTGGCTATCAACCCACTAAAAATTATGTCTACATGTCTATTGTGTTTCTTACACAAACAACATTCTCACATTTGAGTGATCCAGGCAGGTCACGCATGTACCATATTCTCTAGCTGTGAACATTTGAATTTGACTCCACTTCCTTTCCATACCTTGTGTCAGCTCTGACAGCAAGTCACGTATAGAATATGCTATGTACCATATTCTCTAGCTGTGAACATTTGAATTTGACTCCACTTCCTTTCCATACCTTGTGTCAGCTCTGACAGCAAGTCACGTATAGAATATGCTACAAAGAATGTATTGCCTGAGCATAAGGAAACTTGAAAAGCACAGGCAGGGAAGAATGACTCAGTTCCACAATGGAGCTTTTAAAAAGGAAAGAGCTTCCTATCAGCACCGTAACTCCACCTCATCTTAGCATGCAGGAGGATTAAAGATGTCTCTCACTCACAGTCTAGGAAGCACAATGGAGTCAGATGTGGTAAGTATATGACCACATTAATCACAATAGTCTGACCAGACATATCACTGTTCTCACCCTGTAGTGGATGATGGGCTTAGCATTCCTATAATCTGAGACATTGGGAACTTTGGAAAATAAAGGGTTTGGCTTTGTTTTGTTTGGAGGCAGAGTCTCTGAATGTTGCCCAAGATGATCTCCAACTTGATGCTTCAGGCTTCAGAATGCTAGGATTATAGTTATGCCCTGCCATGCTGGCCGATGGCACTTTTTTGCATTACAAATTGTACTTTGTTATATTTCTGTTCTCCTGATGGTCCCAAGACTTTAAAGAAACCTTTCCCAGATCCCTGAGTCTCTGGATGAGGAAATCTCACTCTTGTGGACCCAGCAGTTCCCAGTTGCCAGGAGGGACCATG